TGAGAGCGACTAAGCAGAAAGAAAGTCATCTGTGTTACGGACGTGTCTGAGCTATTCGCCCTGAGGGCTCGCAACCCAACCAGGAGAATGTAAACGGAACTCCGTTTCAGTTACAGAGTGGCGTTTCTCTTGGAAGATAACTTAAGATACATGTACAGAGAATGTGTTAAAGTTTCTAATCACATCTTATGGCATTCCATTAAAATTCATACTATTAAAACGATTATCAATACCTTCATGATTGTAAGTCATAAAAAAATAATCAGAAGAGCCAGACTAATATGAAAGGTTGTAAAATATTTTAAGTACTTGGCAATATCATTTGCCGATTGATAATATCATTAACTGAAATGTCATTTCCATATAGCATACAATTATTACCTCCCAAACAATTTTATTATTAGTTTTATAAAAATGTGCTAGCAAAACGTAAATACGTAGCACAAGCTGATACCAAAAAACAGATTTGTCCACTTATTCGTTGCCATAGTCCTACAATAAGAATTTTTCTGTCAAAAAACTGCCGATTTCTGCGGCATCTTTACTACGTAAGTAGTTAATGGGTGGGAAAGTAAAAGTAACAAGAGAATGCTTAAAAAAGACATACTTTGGTTTATTTGCCGATGCAATTTCTAGCTCTTATAGCAATGCTACTAACTCAAAATGCACGTGTAAACACCATATGATCACCATATAATTTATAGTATGTACAACACATTGGGTGTTTCTAAATCAGCAATTCCAAATTCTCTAATACATTACAAACTTTTGAAACATCATTACTTGAAATCATTAAAGGATACGTATTACCTTAAAAACTCTTAACATTGACATCGACACTCGTACTTGCATGTTTTAATAGCGACAAGTAATGTTACACATAGCTCTTGACTTTCTCATTACTCAAGGTTGTTCTTGGTCGTAAAATCCTGTAAACCCATGATGTCGCTGAGGGATATTGACCTTGTCCGCGCACGCAGTAAACATACATAAACGCCAGTCCGATTAGTTGCCCGAACATTTTTTTGCTTTGTACAACAAAATAAAAATGTTTGCAGTGTTTTCACCTGTCCCGATCACAAAAGACTTTCTAAACGCCATTTCCTTCCAAGTGCTCCGCGCCCAGACAGAATGTGTGTCGCAACGGACCAGCCGCACTCGCACCATTTCTCTCCTGCTGCAATACTCCTCCGTCTGTTCCAGAGCACTCGCGCCTTCACTCCGCGCCGGAGACACGGCGGGATTGGGAAGATGGGAAGGGTTAGGGGCTCTTGGGGAAACTAAAAGAGGAGGGATTAGGAGAGAAAATAGGAAACAGGGCGAGGTGAAGTAGACGGCGATAGCAAGAAGGGAACTAGCGATAAATGACAATGAGTAACCGAGCGCGAGAACGAAGAAACGACTGTAATAAAGATGAGAAGAAGGATAACAATCGCACAGTTTGGAGGGTAAGAATACCGACTTGTAAGAGAATGCATGAAAATGAAGGGTAGCAGCTAGTATCTTAATCTACGGATCAAAATTTCCCTCGAATTTTAGAAATATATAGAGAATATCCTTGAAAATTGATCACGGAATTACAATAATACACGAGAAGAATTATAGGAAAGTCCTGGTGTGTTGTCTCGGTCAGTTGAGAACAGGCGAAGTAGCTTTGGTTAGCTAGGGAGACGGGACAATAAACGTCCATAAACATCGGATCAGTTTACAGAAAACTGGAATCAAGGATAAGTCACCGTGCAAAATGAAGACACAGTGAATAAATGAAAGGAACGAAACGAGACAGTAAGGGGATATAATAGGCTTACAAAATCTTAAATTAGGCGCAGAAGAAAGACAATGAGGAATAGGAAGAAGCAACGAAGATAAAACCAACATAAAAAACGCACCAGAGATAGCTGATGATTTGAAATCTGTCGAACAGATGCGAGAAAGAAACAATGAAGGACTACACACCGAGCACGTAAGAGGGAAAATGTCGAGGAGGGACACAAGGAAAGACGTGCAATATGAAATGAAAACGAGTGGCGGAGTCAATGAACTGCAGAGATCCACACCAATATCTATATGACAAGAAAAGCGACATCGGATTTTTTAAAATGCCACGACGGAGGGCGCAGCGCCTGGATACGAAAAGGCCCAGCGAGCCTACTCGCAAATTTATCCGCGCGCGAAGAGCGGAACTGTCGGCGGTAGACGCCAAACAGAGACGTAATCTTCGCGAACAGTCATTTACGGGCGGTTTACGACGGCATGACGTACGGCCGTCGCGGGGAAGGGTGGGCCGAGCGTGGAAGGTGGAAAGGGGAGGGCGGTGACGGTAGGCGCGAGCGCGTGGAAGTTAACGCGATGGCCATAAAACATTTGCTTATGTTGCATGTTTTCGGAGTAAGACGCTGTAGGCGCCGCCCTTGGTTGGACGGATCCCCGGGAACGCAACTTGAGCGGCATTAAAGCTTTGGTAAATGAAAGGGGCGGCTAAGAGTTTGGGTCTCCCTTGCTCGAGCCAAAGCCTGTAACGAGTAAGCCATCAGTTGATTACACAATTCTTTAATATCACGTACTGGTCAAATGAAGCACGTTTTTG